CACAGGAAACTTCATCTATCCAGTGGTTGGACCTGATGGAAGTCCGCTTCAGCGAAGAAACTGTACTGTCAAATATTTAAAAATGGATATTGTGTTCGCAATCAACACTGAGGGCATGTCAAAAACAGCTTTCGATAGTGTGGTGGGTGCAATATCTCAGTTTGCTGATGACGTCGATCTAGCTCCTGATGTCACTCGCTTTGGATTGATCTATGGAAACAAGGAAATTGTCGTTCCTTTAACTCTTGGAGGATACCAAGAAAAAGAACATATGAAGGAGCAGATGCGAAGAGTCAGTTTTACGGAGGATTCATCTAGCGATGGTGTTTCTATTTACGACCCTGTGAAGCAGCAATTCTCCATGTTTCCTCGAAAAGATTCTTCGAAGATAGCTATTGTAGTGGGACGGCAACTGAAAAGGTATGGTCCTAGCGAATGATTTATTTTTATTTTTGTGAAAGTCGTCATATTTTTCATAACATCAAAAGAGTTATGCGAGTCCCAGCCTCGATGTCATTCAAATGGTGCTGTCTCGTAGGACAGAGTTTGATAGGTGGCGCTGAATAGCTGAATTCGAGGAATCACATAAAAAATCCCATAGTTAATACTCGCACTTCTGTTCCCCTTAGTCGTCCTCCTGGAAAATATGTGATCATTCCTTTTCACATCTAGTAACGTTTAATGCCGATTAAAGCTGAAGAAACAAATAAAATCCTGAAATTCGCAAAAATAATTCAGCCTAATTTGAGTTCCTCGAAACTCTTTACCCGTTCCTGTCAATGTAGAAGATTCAGTTCAATTATCATTCCGTATATAAATTCTTGCTTCTAAGGTCCACCCTTACGAATAATCCACTGCATCGTGAAGCGGTAAACTGTTTAATAACTCCATTAAGTTATTTTCCCTGGTTCTCGCCATGATGCAAGGGCGCTCAATATGACTCGAAACCATGTTTCTTACCTCTTAGGCCACTCAGGGTATAAAAGAACTTGGGAAGGCTCTAGTTGGAAATTCTCAATTCCATCTTAAGTACTTCTTACTTGGTATTGATTCTAATCGTTAGTTTCCGGTGGTGCGATTGATCCAGTTTTCGATAGTGTCGTTTTTGAAAACGAATTACACAAAATTCTGCAGTAGCCCCCTTCTGAGCAGTTATGCTTACAACTAGCAAGCCATGAATATAGCGTAATGAACTCTAGTTATTTCAACAAGCAGGCTTGACCGCCACTTGAGAAAACTAGGGATAACGCAGCTATGATGGAATAAGAATACTTAGTATCAAAAAATTTCTTAAATTAGGAAGGAAGCCCACACTACCATATTTAAGTCAGCTGTCGCCATTATCAAATCCTCTCCTACTGATGCGTAGCATTTCGAAAACTGATACTTTCTCCAGTGAAAAAAAAAGCCTCGACAGCTTTCACTGGTGAGTCGCCATAAAAATCCCATCAGATGATCTCTCTGAACCTGTACTACATCATGGAAGTATTTGGGGATGATTTATCGACACCCCAACATTTTGTTTGGTGGGGCAGTAAGGTTGAGTATGATATTGCAGAAAGTGACTAACTCTCGGCCTCAGGTTTACTGCGAAGTCAATTATCATCGAAGTTTCTGTGTTTTCCTTTAAACTTTCGAATTCTTGATACCAGACAAATCTATGGTGCTGCGTTTCATTCTACCGACACCCTCTCGGGAAATTTGTTTCAACTGTTTTCTTTCATAAGTCTTCTTTCTACCTCACTTTGAGGCTTTTCTTCGTCGTTCCCCTTGTGTTTCAAAAATCTTCTCATCGAGTGATCTTGTGACCTTTTTAGCAAGTATCCATACCATCACAGGCACTGCTCTCACATATAACTTCAACGAGATATTTGCATTAACCTGCCCCTCTAACTTCTTTGATCATCACCCTGTTGGCTCAGGCCTAGACGCAGTCCTACCTCTACATCTTCTTTCCAGTATAATGTAGGAGCCTCGAGCTTTTGTGCGTTCGAAACACCGCTGACCACAGAGAACGCAATGGTAATGGCCGCGACAATCCCTCCATTTTACCATGTCGCATTTAACCTAGCCTTTGCAATCTGACCAATACTACAACCGGTCGCTAGGTCATCAAGGGTATTGGGAGTGTTGCACTATTCTCATACTTGCATATAGTTAGTCCACAATCAGCTGTTTTTTCCACTACCCCGAGCCCATTGTCTGTGAGAACCTCTCTCGTTTCCTTTCAGCTTACTTTCCTCTATCAGAGCCATGCGATCAGTGAAAGATGGCGTCAGCTATCTGGTGAATGGCATCTAGTGTTAATTGTTAGAGTAACAACCTATCATGAGAACCTTTCTCTAGAGTACCTTGACGTGGCTTCTATTACTTTTTGAAGACATGCAGTGCTGCATTCTAGTCCAACTTATCATATACCAGTCGGACCGCCCGGCTAACGCCGGGCTTCTCTCCTTCTTATAGGTTCGCCCGGCTACGCCGGGCGCTCCTTCTTCCTGTGAGAAATTTGCTATGCGTGAATAACACTTCGGATTCTCCTTTTGCTTTGAAAAATCTACACCCTCAGTATTAGCACCGTATTGAGAGCGATTTTTTCTGTAAGCCAACCTCGCTGTGTCCGAAAGAACATCGTTTAGTCAAAAGGCGATTATTCAGACAAAAGTATTCAGAGACTCCATCGCGGCTGAAGCTACTATGTTAGCTACCATCAATGTTTCTCAATGCCATCATCAAGGGCTCTCCTCCTTCTTGGGGCAAAGGGACTTTGCCCGATAAATATCGAATTAATGAGATCCCCCCCCCCCTTTTAATATGTTATT